AGCATCTTTGAAGGCTCATATCTCAGTGAAAAAATTTTTTTAGACAATGGGAGTTGGAATACATCATTATTATGGTCAGGCAATCATATTAAGCCAATAAAAAAAATTCACCAAAAATACACCGGACTTACCCTTTAAGGTTTTCTCTAATTCATTTACAATGCTGTTCCCATGATCTGTCAAAATAAATTACTTGAGTTATTGCTAGAACAAATGATTTGACTATTCAACTGACCTCATAAGTGTACTCTGATGGTTAAGTATAAATAAATATGAAAATAATAATAAGACATGAAAATTAAGGCCTTTCTACACTTGAACCGGTTCCAGAAGTTGGCTCATCAATGCGCATTGAATGGGCATCAAGTGATTCCACACTAACTTCAGGATCATGTATTATTTTTATAGCATTTCTGATCTAGCTGCCATTGGCTATCTATTGAATGCACATTCAAACCACATATGGAGGTGGTTTGGTTTAATGCATTGAAGTCAATGCGCATCAGGTGTGGAATGACTGGAACCGGTTTCAAACCAGTTCAATGCGCATTAGAAGTGCTAGTGCTGAAAGGCTTTAAGTGTATAATTTGACTTTTAATTACAAGTGATGTTTACTTACTGGTCTTTATTACTTTGATTGTCTGTCTGTGATCATAAATTTTTAATTAATGTTTAAAGAGGAGCACTAGAGAGAAGAAGCTTGCAAAGTCACATAAGGGTTGATTTAAGACCAATGATTTATCCAAACTCTTGAGTTTAATGTCATCATGGTAAATATCAATGTTAAAGAGCTATGGTAAACATAATAAACATGAATAAGCAACATTAAACATCACTGATGAGCATTGAAAAGGAGTGGCAAACAATAATAAACATATGCAAATACTGATATACATTGATATACAATGGTGAACATAGGTAAAAGAAAAAATGGTAATCAACATAGGTAAAAGTGGTAAACATTGATAGACAGTGGTAAACCATGGGTCAACAGTGATATACAGTGTTAAACACTCAGTGGTAAACATAGGTAAACAATGATATACAGTGATAGATCTATACAGTGTAAAACATAGGTATACAGTCATATACAACATAGGGAAACAGGAATGCATGCCTAATTCCTTATGCATTTTCTCTCCATATAATATTGCTACATTCACACTATGCACATATACTCCACACAATGTACATGTAGTTCCAGGCTACTATACTATTAAGGTAAGCGATACATGTAATTGTATTTCTGCTAATATAAGCTGACCCATGCATTTGTTGGGGTACAGCTAAAGGTACTTCAATTATTACCATAGCCACAAAAACCCAACTAGATCTATCACATGACCTTATATTAAAGTTTACATTATAACAGCAATTAAACTAAATTAAATACTTATGCTAAATCTAGCACTATGAATGGTCACTCTGCAACTTATAGGGAAGTATCTGTTGTATAACAGCGGCTTCGCAGAGTACAAGATCACTCAAAAGCAAGTAGCTTTATTATGAATCACAGATAAAAGATTAACAGAACTGACAAAAACAGTAACTGACTAACTGACAAAAGACAAAAGGTCACACAACACATAGCATCTTATATGTACAAAACAAAACCACAATAGAGAGCACTAATAATAACCATACAGATAATTATAGAACAACCACAAAATGAATATCTAGAACATAGAAGAGTAATCAAGATGGTACACGTGGCAATACTATTACAAATTATAAACACAATATTAATTACAATAATGTTAATAGTATCAGCTATAGAAAAAGACGTGTTGCTGGAATAAAAACAAGCAATATATCATTGATAGAATTTTTACTTTTTGAAGTCTCAGAAAATAAAACAGTATCAATTGCTTCATCATGATACAAAACACTTTAATGA